ATTGTTAATCAAGGATATTTTGCTTACAGTAGGCTAATGCTTGTTATCATAATAAGCATAATGTCTAATATGCCATGTGATCTAACCAACAGACTTCTTTCTAGGTTTGCTTGTGAGTGGAGTGCGTATTGCTTCACATTTTTTTCCAATATACTTATGGATAACCAGTGAAATACTTGATTGCACATCTTTCCTTTTTTTTGTAAAATCATGAAAATTAACAGACTTCAGTTTTGTATTGACAAATACAGCTAGTAAAGATGAAAAGATTAAGATATGATTGTTAAAAAATGTGTGTGTGTGTGTGTGTGTGTGTGTGTGTGTGTGTGTGTGTGTGTGTGTGTGTGTGTGTGTGTGTGTGTGTGCCTGTCTTTGTATGTGCATGTGTATTACTGTCCGTCTGTCTGTAGTTTTTGCAATCAATTCTCTTCTAGTCTCAAAATGTCCATGATAATCTTTTTATTGATATTGTTATCCAGTGTGCTTTATAAGGGAATATTTTATGAGTTTTTTAAAGAGATATTTCTGAGTTGGCTGATTAAAAGCAGTCACATTATATAATGTCTCCCTTCCCACAGAAGATATCCAGATGAGGAAGAAGATGGCCGTGGGCGACGACGAGACAAAGGAGCAGATGTCCCAGTTTCATCAGCGAGTGAAGAGCGAGGTTGGTTTAGGAAACGCGAAAAGAGTTCCTCTCGAGAACTAGATAGAACTAGTGAAGAGAGGCAGCCGGAAAAATCCCGATGGTTCAGGAAGAGAGACAAGAGTTCATCTCGGGGCTCTGAGGACAGGAATTTCCGTCGGGAGGATTCAGACCGGAGGCGGGACAAAGGAAAGAGTAAGGATGAGGCATCAGTGACAGGAAGTGATAGGAGAAAAGGCACAGATGCCAGTGGGAAAGGTAGATCAGCATCTAAAGAAAAGGTAGAAAGCTTGGGCCTAAGAAATCAGGAAGAGGAGGATAGAGGACAGCACCGGAAACGCAGTTCTAGTGATCAGTCCGTTAATCAGGAAAGACTACAAGTGCCAGAACCTACTGTGCGGAGATTATCATCCCCAGAAATTGATAATTCTGGAGTAATAACCGCATCATTACGTATTCCAGTGCCATTAGCCCAAGGAGGAGGACCCTTGGCATTCGCACAAGATAAAGAAATTCCTTTTATTGAAGACTCTAGTACTAGTGATGATAAAAAAAATCGGCAGCGTTCGTCACCACATAAGGGAGGTGGGTCTCCAAGAAATGATATTGCAAGGCAACGTTCAGGTAGTAGTGACTCTTACCTTGGTCAGCCCATTACTGGCACCATGAGCTTTCAACCGCTGACCAAGAAAGGCGGTGATAAACAGAGTCATGACTCCGTTCTCTCTTCATCTTCAGCAGATGTTTACACATTGTCTCCCTCACCTCGTAACACACCTTTGTCTGATGTGTATGCCTCAGGTACATCATCGCCTCTGAGTGGCGCTGGTTCACCTCCTCTTTGGCTTAGTCCTGACTCTGGAACACCAGGACTATCACCACCTAATTCACCCCCACCACAGCCACGCCGTAGGGGTGAGTCGAGCAACAATCCAATAGCACATTCGGTGACTCACACCTTTGGCACCAAACCTCCAGCAACACCGTCAAAAAGTAAAAGTTCCTCATCCGTTGCATCCCACGGACTCTTTCCAATAGGCCGCTCCAAAACTGCAGATAACATTAAGACAGTAACTCATCACACAGAAGGAAGTGGCACTACATCTGAAAGTCGTGATGAAATTGCACGGGAAACACGGGGGCACAGGGACTATGGTGGGGGTCGTCGCTATACCCGCCGCCGCTATACTGGGGAAAGACACCCAACTGGACACCTTCCAGATATGAGCGCATCAAATGTAAGTGAAGGACAGACACAACTGTGGAAGCGATGGGAGATTATTGCGTCAGATCCAACAGAACCTGAGACATTTGTCTAGCTGAGGAGCCTCCCCACAGGTGAGGAGGCTTTATATAAATGCATATTCTGGCCTAAATGATCATTTAGAAATATCTTTCACACTCATATCTTTGCTCAAATTTTCTTTCAACAATGATTTGTGTAATATGTATAAAAAAGTCAAAGTATTCTTTTATAGTTTGTGATGAGCTACTAAATCTACCTGATAATCCACAAAGGTTGATTGAAATTATCTATTCAATTAATCCACGTGGCAGCATTATCTAAGGTTTTATACAATTGATTAAAATTAATCACAACTGAGAATTTGAGTGCACAAAAAATCAATATGAAATGTAGATTTTTGAATTCAGAAATTTATGAGAATATTATGTAATATATTCACAAAGAAATGAAGATAAAGTGAAAATGCCAAGCATTCTGGATTATCAGGAGAACACATCTTGCAAAGAAATTTTCGGTTTGCATACTAAAAGTGAACAAGTTAATTTGACTAAAAGTGAGTGTTAGATGTACTAAGGCCACAGGTTCAATGTTGAAAGTATAAGAAAATA